AAATGAATAAAATTAAATGAAATAATATGTAATAATCCGTCTTTATTAAATATTATCGAGATTCATTTAAACTAAAACAATAAAACAAACAACTTATTGCCTGTTACACCAACATTATTTAACGTTAGTTCAGATGAAAACCTGGTTTAATTTGAAGATTTTTATTGCACAAGTACTTAAGCCCCGTTCAAGACTAAAATGATCAATTTTTAAAGTTTAAAGATCGTATAATTTATTTTCAGTCTTCAAAAATGGATCTTATTGACCGTGATGATATTTTAAACGATGAATTGTGTATGCTTGAATTAGTAAATAGTGGTTTTCTATAAGAAGACTGATCAACAGCCAAAAAATATCCTAAATAAAATCAACAAAATATTACTATTTTTAATGTGCTAAAACCGGAATGAAACTTATTTTTTCAATATTAGTTCAAGTTTTAGAGATACGGTAATTATATGTGTTCCTGCTGTGACAGTGTTAATATACTGTAATTCACAAGAATGCACGTGCTACATTTTTATATTCGGCAAGGAAAGATGATGTACTCGGCATGATTGTGTTACGTTATACATACGTGTACATTATATTGTTTTATATCAGCCATTTTTTCCTCAGTTGGCTGACAGCGTTCATGCAAGATGTCTCGAAAGTGTGTAAACAATCCAGATCAGTTTTGTTACGTGTGTGGTGATGTGACTTTTGCGTCTCAGAGACGGTCTATTACTCCACTAATAACAAAGGCATATCAGCTTTATTACGGTTGTAAACTAGGTGATCAAGACACACAGTGGGCACCCCACATCTGCTGTAATACATGTGCTTCAAGTCTGAGGAGCTGGTTAAATGGCAAAAAACGGTCTATGCGCTTTGCTGTCCCAATGGTTTGCAGAGAGCCTACAAATCATATTAATGATTGTTACTTTTACATGGTACCTTGTGTTGGACAAGCCACAGGTATGTCCAAGAAAAAAAAATGGGTTACTAACTACCCAAACATACCATCTACGATGAGACCTCTGTCTCACAGTGACGAAAATCCTATTCCAAAGCCCCCAGAATCCTACACTTGCGAATCAGAAAACGAATCAGATCATGGCGATCGAGTGATTCGTCAGGAAGAAGATATGCCATCAACGTCAAGAGATCCTGATTTTATACCGAGCACGTCATGCCACCAACCGCACAAAATAACATAATTAAATGATCTTGTAAGAGATTTAGAACTTCCAAAATGTAAGGCAGAGTTACTTGGCTCAAGACTGCAGCAGTGGAACTTGTTAGAAGACGGTGTTTCGGTATGTGTTTTTCGTAAACGCCAAAAAGACTTAGAACCATTTTTCAATATGGAGAATAACTTGGTTTTCTGCAGTAACATTAACGGCTTACTGGCGGCTTTAAATATAAACTATAACCCAGAAGAATGGAGATTGTTTATAGACAGTTCAACATTGAGTTTAAAGGCAGTGTTATTGCATATTGGAAATATTTTACCATCTCTTCCTGTAGGGTATGCAGTTCACATGAAAGAATCATATGACAATATTAAGTACCTATTGACATGCATAAAATACGATGAGCACCAATGGCATATTTGTGGCGATTTGAAAGTTGTTGCACTTTTACTTGGGCTGCAGCTAGGCTACACAAAGTTTTGCTGTTTTTTGTGTGAATGGGACAGTCGGGCAAAGGCACTTCATTACACCAGACAAAACTGGCCTGTTCGTCAATTCCTAGAGCCAGGTCAAAAAAATGTACAGCATATGCCATTAGTAGATTCGAAAAAAAATTTATTACCACCACTGCATATCAAGTTGGGCCTAATGAAAAACTTTGTCAAGGCATTAGATAGAGATGGGACAGCTTTTCAATACCTGCGTCAGAAATTTCCAAGACTAAGTGAGGCAAAGGTTAAAGAAGGTATTTTTGTTGGGCCACAGATTCGAAATATTTTGAAAGATACACAGTTTGAAAACACTTTAACAGGTATTGAAAAAACTGCTTGGAATGATTTCCATCTGGTGGTCACTAATTTCTTGGGAAATAGAAAAGCTGACAACTATAAAACCCTTGTCAAAAATATGCTGTCATCGTATCAAAAGATGGGCTGTAATATGTCTCTTAAGATACATTTCCTACACTCACACCTGGACTTTTTTCCTGACAATTGCGGAGCTGTAAGTGATGAGCACGGCGAACGTTTTCATCAGGATATTTCAACAATGGAAAAAAGGTACCAGGGAAAGTGGAATCCTTCCATGCTTGCAGACTACTGTTGCACTCTTGGTAGAGATGCTCCAGAAACGAGCCATAAAAGAACAGCAAAAGGACAGCGCGTATAGTGATTCTTATAAGTATATGAATCTTGTTACTTTTTTCAATATATCCTTAAAAATAAAAAGTTTTTTTCTAAACCGCAACTAATTTTTTTATTTCATTGTCATTTTTGGATTCAGCGCCCCAAAATTAACAAAGAAGTGCACTTTTCCCACAAGATACAATTAAAAAACTAAAATTTGTTGTCCAGTGGAATTATTCAGAAGCCAAAAACAAAACTATTTCTAACAGATAGCAGCTATGACGTTTTTTAGGAAATTTGTACAAACAAGCTGTTTTAAATATTCTGTGAACTTGAGCTGGAGTATCTCAATGATTCGTAAGTGAGAAAACGTACGAACGTAGTTTCGGTTTCAACTGCAGATTCGGTGGATCTCGTAGTGAAACGCGCAACTGACAGCAACTGAAAGTTCGGTCAGACACCAACGGAATCTTCAAGCCGACCGTAGCGATTTAGTAAGCGTTTTCTAATCTGACCAGTTTCAGACATCAAATGAAGCGTACCCCTCTGGTGCAGTTCCTCGACACAACTAAACTATTAAATCATAAAATTAACCATGAACTTAACGAGGCTTTGAAAATAAATCAAATGGTGCATGCGAAGATCGATAGCTGAATATGTTGTATGACACAAGTTCGTGTCGCAAAAATTATTGGCCCTAATAAAACCTAAAAATAGTGTCAATTTGCTCTCCGCTGACTATTGCGTTTTCAATTATGTAGATACTTAAGTATAACTAATGGTTTATTAAAAAGTCGAACAATATGAAGTATACACCACTGTTATGTCCTTAAAAAATCGGAAAAGTCCTGCGTTCGATGGTATTAAAAGCGAGCATTTGAAAATTATAGCCGAGGACATAACAGAACCACTCACTTACCTAATCAACAAATGCTTTGTATCTGGCATATATCCCTCAATTTTAAAAAAAGGTAATATAATACCGATACATAAATCAGGAACAAAAACAGATGTTAACAACTATAGATCAATATCAATAATATCCAGTGTAGCAAAGGTTTTTGAAAAAGTTTTATCTACTAGAATGATTCGATACCTCACAAAATTCAAAATTTTAAGTGAAAATCAATATGGATTTACAGAAGGGAAGGCTACATCGGACGCAATAACTAAAATTGTAAATCAAATATATCAAAATACTGATAACAGAATCCCTTCAATCTGCATTTTTGTTGATTTAAAGAAAGCTTTCGACACAGTTAATCACAAATTATTATTAGAAGCATTGGAGAGAATTGGTTTCAGAGGAAACGCGTACTCACTGATCGAAAGTTATTTGTCAAATCGCCCACAATCTGTGCAGATATCAGGATCATTTAGTAAAGAAATGTATATAAGTGTGGTGTCCACAAGGAACTGTCTTAGGTCCGCTGTTATTCAATATATATTTAAATGATATTTTCCAAATTAATTGTGTTGGCAAAATAACTAGTTTTGCAGATGATACTGCAATATTATATGAAGGCATTGACTGGTCTGATCTGAAAAATGTAAATGAAAATGATTTTATCAAAATTATTCGGTGGTTTAACAGTAGAAAATTAAGCATTAACTACTCTAAAACACATTTTTTACCATTTGGATCTTATGCTAGACATCTGCCAAATTACACAAATTTCTCCTTCAATATTAATGATCAAAAAATGCAAATTAATAGAGTGACCAACATAAAATACCTTGGAATGGTCTTGGATCCTCACTTACGACGGGACATCCATGTCAATTATATTTTAAAGAAAGTTAGATTTGTATCCTACAAAATTAAATACCTTGGGAATATATTGACAGAAAAATATCTTCGAACATTATACCATGCACTGATTGAGCCTCATCTCACATATGGTATATTAGCATGGGGAGCTGCATGTTCCTCACATATCTATAATTTAGATGTTTTTCAAAAAAGTATTCTAAAAATGATATTTAAAAAACCGAAACTTTATCCCACTGAAAAATTATACGCAGATGTTCGAATGTATGATATAAGACAGCTTTATTTCTTACACAGTATCACTCACTACCATAAATTTGTAAACACCGACCAAAAAATTAAACATAATAATTATACCAGATAAAAAATTCGTGGCACAGTAGTTCCTCAACCGCATAAATCTATAATGCAGCGATCATATATCTCTATTTAGCGCCTAAATTTTATGAAATTATACCTAAAGACTTAAAATATTTACGTTTCGGAAATTGTTTCAAAAGAAATTTAAAAAAGTGGCTACATTCTATATCTAGGACTGAAATTCATAAACTCATAAATACGAACATCAACTAAATACATAATCTACTGTAGCTAATTTTTGTCCTTTTTTTGTCATTTGCATTCTACAGTTTCAACTTAAATTATTGGTCCATGTACAGGCGATGCCTTCTATTGGGCCTGTTTTGATTTTATATTTATTTACTCATATTGTTTGTTATCTTTGTACATTGAGTAAATAAATATTATTATTATTATTATTATTATTATTATTATTATTATTATTATTATTATTATTACTTCCGATCACCTCCACCAACTGCATACAGCGCTGTCTCATCGTAAACAGGAACCAGTACGGTAAAGAATCTGATGTCCGCTTTAATTTGAATTACTTCGAATTGCTGAGCTTATCAATTTGTAACGATTTACCTTACAATTAAGATGCTTTGTTTAAAGCTCCCTGGTACCAAAAAGGCGGCGGCAAAGAAAAAGTTTGCCGTTTGGAATAAATTATGTTGTGCAGGAGTCCATTCTTTGCAAGAACCAGTCCACGAACCCTCTCCGCTAGTTTCATTGATAATCTGAAAAAATATAAATCATTTACCTTGCGCGATAAATAAAATATACAGTTTATTGTTGCATAACTTTAAGATTCGATAAAACTTTTAAAATTAATGCATAAAGTCTATATAAACATGGGTCGAAAAATGCGTGGCTTCCGAAATACAGGGTGTTTAAATTTACTTTTTAAAATTGTTTTTTTTTAAATATTTCGAAAAATATCTGATGTATAACAGTGAAAATTGGTATACAAGGGTTTTTTGATACGACAAAACGAACCATGGGCATAGTTTTACTGTAGCCGCTAGAGGGCGCTCTCTACTGTACCTGTAGTGTATTGAAATGACCAAAAGATTTTTCTTAGTGCAATTTTTTGCTTTTTGAATAAAAAAACTGATTCTTTGCACTTTTCAACATAAAAAAGCTCTCCTGTGAGTTTTCGTTGTAGTTAGCTGTTTTTGAGATATTTCGATTTTTAAGGTTCGATGCATTTTTAATTATTTATGGGAAAATAATATTTTGTTTTACATTTTAGATTTGCGCATTACAAGTAATTAAGATGATCGTTTAGATTGTGTTTTAAACCCAGCAATAATTCCTAACTCCAAATAAACACAAAAAACAGAATAATAATTTGTTTAATTTTCCAATATTATTTTTAACAAATTAAATTAATTATTTACAACTAAAATGCTATGGAATAGTTAGGACAAACATACAAAATCTAAAGTAGTTGCTCGAAATGTAAACCTAATTGTTCAATACACAATTCACATCTACGAATGATCGAAAGTGGTATAGCATTATTCAAATAAGGCCTTATTTCATCACATGCATTCCTGATTCTGTCTATTAGCATATCTCTTGTGGTTATGGGAGTCTGGTACACTTTTTCTTTTAGAAATCCCCACACAAAGAAATCTAATGGATTTAGGTCAGGGGATCGTGGAGGCCAGGCGATTGGTCCACCACGGCCGATCCATCTTTCTGGATAATTTTCGTCCAGCCAGTTTCTAACTATTCTCGAATAATGAGCTGGACAACCATATCAAGCTGGAACCAGGCCAATCTTCTTAAATCTAACATAACATCATCCCACATATTTGCATGTTCAGCCTTTAAAAATTCCAAAAAGGTCGCAGCATTTAGCCTTGCAGGCAAAAGGTAGGGTACAAATAGTCGATTACGGTAGATACCAATCCACACGTTCACACTAAATTCATGCTGAAAATTTCTTTCCCGAACTGCATGCGGATTTTCATGCGACCAAATATATTGATTATGAAAATTTACCACTCCACGTCTAGTGAAGCATGACTCATCGCTCCATAAAACGTTACTTAAAAACTCCCTATTATTATCAGTTCGATCAAGAATCCACTGACAAAATGTGATTCTTCGTTCTCCGTCCCCTGGCTGTAGTACTTGCACAGGTTGCAAATGGTAAGGACGTCTATGATCATTTCTAAGAACACGGTGAACATGGCTTGCTGAAATTCCTAAGGCACCAGAAACTCTCCTAACACTTGTGGTCGGATCTCTATCAAACTCACGCAGAATCATACGGGTATATCTGCGCTGACGAACATTTATGTTTTGATCCCTTTGGAGATTTCCAAAACCATTTTCAATTATTTGACGATGCACTCTTACAAATACTGAGCGAGTTGGATGTCATCTGTTTGGAAATCTTCGTGCGTATTCTCTGGTTGCTTCTGCTGCGTTTCCATTTACAAAGCCATACACAAAATGAATATCCGCTAACTCTTGATTGGAGAGTAAAAATGGCATATTTATAAAAGTTACAAAAAAAAAACAGGTAAAAGAAGCTAAATTTCGTGCATTCATAATTGCAAAAAAACGTTTCAGGTTTCACTAGACAACAAAACTAACTGTCAACTAATTGACGTTTAACCTTATTCTGCTTTCAATTTCAAAATTGTTTGCAGGCACAGCCTACTTCTAAAAATTATCGAGATACTGACTTTTTAACGTTATTTTATCATAAATAATTAAAAATGCATCGAAACTTAAAAATCGAAATATCTCAAAAACGGCTAACTATAACGAAAACTCACAGGAGAGCTTTTTTATGCATAAAAGTGCGAAGAATCAGTTTTTTTATTCAAAAATCCAAAAATTGCACTAAGAAAAAAATTTCGGTCATTTTAATAAACTACAGGTACAGTAGAGAGCGCCCTCTAGCGGCTACAGTAAAATTATGTCCATGGTTCGTTTTGCCGCACCAAAAAACGCTTGTATACCAATTTTCACTGTTATACATCAAATATTGTTCGAAATATTAAAAAAAAAACTATTTTAAAAAGTAAATTTAAACACCCTGTATTTCGGAAGCCACGCATTTTTCGACCCATGTTTATATAGACTTTATGCATTAATTTTAAAAGTTCTATCGAATCTTAAAATTATGCAACAATAAACTGAAACACCCTGTATATTAGGAGTGACGTTTTCTCGCTATACTTTCGTAAAGCACCCTGTATAAAAATATTCTCGTGTCATATATCTCTCTAGATAATACAGAATTTTTTTTGTACAGTAAGGAAATCTTTTTTAAATACGGTGTACCTCAAGGTACAGTGTTCGGCCCTCTTTTATTTAATATTTATTTGAATGATATATTCAAAATTAACTGTGTAGGAAAAATATTCAGTTTTGCTGATGAAACAGCAATACTATACAAAGAGCAAGGCTCGTATGATGTAAAGGGAATAATTGAGAATGAATTTTATTAAATTTTTTTCAAAATAAACAATACAAATTTAAAAATTGAGAGAGTGGGCAATATCAAACACATAATAAGCAACTTTTTTGAGGTGGACATTTATGCAGCCTACATTTTGAAAAAAATACGATTTGTTACATACAAAATTAAATTTCTCACAGACATATTGACAGAAAATTATATGCATACTATGTATTATGCCTTAATTGAGCCGCACCTAATGTATGGTATATTAGTATGGGGTACAAGGTCCCACAAATTTAAGCTTTAAAAATTTTACAGAGAACTGTTTTAAAAACTACGTTCCGAAAATCAAAACTATATCCTACAACTGATTTATAGAACGAAACAAAATTATTTGAGATATCAAGCGAATGTATTCTTTACGTACTGATACTCGATATAAAATACGAGCAAAAACTGCCCCTAAACCTCATAAGACCATAATCAAGCGACCTTTTCTCTATTTGCAAAATATCAAAGCATGTACTCGTCCTATTAAACTGTTTAATCAGCTTAGCTAATTTAGTTCATGTAGAAAAGATGCATTTAAAACAAATAAACGTTTTACTACGAACTGTTAAACTGTTTATTTAAATTGCGGACTCTGCAGGACTCGGCTCTTTATTCGTGAATGATCTGCGACAAATGCAGTGCCGGTAACTCGCTTTAAACTCCTCAGTTTCAGTTGCGATATTCGCGAGGAGTTTCATATTCGAATGTTGCCGCTGTTGGTGTAATCAAATACTTCATTAAAAGAAGACAAACAATGTTACCTAAGCTAATTAAACAAACTTAGCAATTACAATTAAATTAGTTTACTTGGAGCAGGTGAGCTCGTTTTAATAGTTCATTAATTTCAAATAAACTGGTTTATTTAATCCAAGTAAACGGTTTGCTAAATATAAGTAAACGATTGCGTTTTGCTTTAATTAAACTTAGAGACTCAAGTAAACTATTTCAGAAATCAGTCTATACAGACTAATTTGTTCAATTTTTCAACTGGTCTAATTAATTTTTTTTTTGGTTTGTTTTTTCCTCAGTGTGCAGTAGACTATTAACTGAATGAACGGCTACGTACCTGATAGTCGTATTCTAGCTCAGCAGTATTTGTCGTCGTGTAGAAGTAGTCACTGCTGTTCCAATAACTGTGATTCGAGGAACCCAAAATGGAGTCCGGTTTGGAAGTGACGGAGATTGTCCGGTTCAAGTCTAACATGGCGTTCGCTTGCGTCGGCCTCACTTTTATCTTGAAGTTGTTGGAATTATTCTTCGCGGGAAATGAATTTGATGAAGAGAAGCTCTTAGCTAAGATCACAGATGTCTCCATTATGATTATCTGGAACAAGTTTTAGTTACATTATACGAGGTGGTCCCCGGGAGCGGAAAGTTTTGATAATGCTGTTGTAAATTTTTTGTCACTGTATGCCATGTAATCATGGAGCATTGGTCTCGCGAGCAACGTGCATTCGTAATTAAGTCGTACTATAAAAACAATAAGTGTGGTTGAAGCCCAGCGACTTAAAATCCGATTTGAAAGCATTCCAAGCTGGTAATTCAGTTTCATTTAGGGCACTGTCAAATACATCACCCTTCATGATTTTCCTTATTTGTGGACCGACACCCCCTCTTTAATTTTTGCCTCACTAAGTTTCGGAAATGTTTGTTTTAAATGCAGAAACCCTCTTCCATTTCAACTAGTGGTTCATGAGCAATGGTTTTGAGGCCCGGAGTTAATACCTGATGTAGTGGCCACTGCTTCTGTTCATAATGACGATCTCACGCATGACTGTCCCATTCACGAAGAAAACAACAATATTCGGTATATCCCAGTTGCATTACAAGAAGAAGGGATATTACCTTTAAATCTGCACGTATGGCCTATCCATATTCATTATAACGGATACGCTCTAACATATTTTCATATCATTCCTTTGTTTGAACTGCGTGCCCTATAGGTACAGATGGATATTTTTTACCGTTGTGTACCAATACCGCTTTTAAACTAAGCTTAGAGGAATGAATGAAAAGGCGCCATTTATTTGATCATGTTTCAGTCCTGACGCGTCAAACAAATTGTTGACATCGGAGCAATATATCAACTCCCTTTCTTGACGGATACAGTGTGTGAGGTCTTGTTGCCGTTTTCGGTAAAAAGTAATGTTAACATCACCATGGAGAAGATTCCATTCTTTTAATCTTGACGCTAAAAGCTCTGACTGGGATTATGACTGATTTAATTTTCGAACTAAGTCATTAAGTTCGACCTGGGTGATCAAATGCTGAACATCCTGGCAGGAAAAAACGAAGGATCGGAAATTTGTACGCTTTCTGTACACCACTTTCAGAATCGGTGGATTCGACTTTGTCATCCAAAGACCAAGATTCTGGTGGAACTGGGACAGAAAGTTCATCACAATGCTTAACGGGCTGCAAAGCTAATGGTAAATTTAAATACTTAACAGTATGTTTCGATTTTGGTCCAATACGTTTAATATTATACAGGGTGACTTTGAAGTTGAGTCATTAATTTTCAGATAATGATTGTAGAAGGAAGATAAACCAAAATATGTGTGTAAAAATAAAAAAAAAATTTGTTTACCTTGTTTTATAAAGTATCCTCCCGACAAGTATTTCAGTGCGGACCTGTATTTGATCGTGAGGTCTTGGAGCACCGGCATGCCGTCCCCTGTGAGGTCTTAAGTCACCTGATTCACGAGCCCGTTGTACTACATTAACAAAGGCGGTTGGTTGCACTCGATTGGGAAACCGATCCGCATAAATATGTGCCATTTTTTATTTCGTTTGAGCCACGCAGCAAACACCACTATTCACTCACGCGTTACCGACTGACACAGACTGAATAAAAACATCGTGATCAGCGTTTCAAATTCTTTCGCTTTTTTGTTTCCGATGCGATGAACCGATAACGCGGAGTATATCCGTTGTCGCCAAACACGAGCACATAATATTATTATTGAGACAGGGTGGTACTCAAACTTCTAAAGGGCTATAACTTTGTTACTTTAATTTTACCACAAAAATGTTAAAGGAAAAAAACATTTCTTTTGATCAGATCTACTCACTGTTAAAATAAATGACTCAACTTCGAAGTCACCCTGTATATAAAATAGCAATCAGTAGTATGGTCTCTCGGTTCTCTCCAAACCATCGATACCGCAAAGGGCATTTTACGATTGTCGCCTCTTAAACAACCTGTTAAAAACGTTACACAAGTCTTACAACATATATGAGGGGCCCATAGTTTATCTTGGTCGCCAACTTTAATTCCAAAATAAAGTTCGTATGCTTTCAACACAAGGGGAGTAAAAGTACGTTTTTGAGATTTAAAAGTTAGCTATCTGCACACATAACAAAAACTATTTACACAATTTCTGGCCATTGTCCATAAAGTTAGTCTCGATCACATAAATTAAAAACAACACACCGTTTTAACCAAAATCAATAGTACTCAGAACATCTCAGTACTCTTCGACAGAGGAAACGTAACTGACTCGGTTGCTATTTGTCTACTGATAAACGCAATATGCTCTCTAAACATCGAGCTCGCATATAATAAACAGGAATAGACAGGTGTTAACATTATATATGTGCGTCATCGCATAAACGCCGAGAAATGCAGCAATATGAGGTGTTACGTATTGTGATTCATAAAAGTAGGTGTTATCGAATATCTGTGAGTGATAGAAGAATTCTGTTTTCAGATTTGATTTAAGGTTCTGAAAATACATAAGATACACACAAAAATAGTCATGACACAAATCCTGTGTTTATTAGTGTTATTTATCAAAGAATTCAAGAGTGCATACAGAGACGGGGAAGACATTTACGCCTTATTATTTTTAAGAAATAAAAATGGCATACAGTGGACCTCCGGCAATCCGACAAACATTATGCAGGGCAGTGTCGGACTATCGAATTTGTCGGATTATAGAGCACTGCCTAAGACCCCCTATTGACCGAAATTTTTTACCAGAAAGTACCTTGTAATCCGACAAATTACATATCCAATAATAAGATTATATATGTTATGTATATGTATGTACTTTGAAGTACAAATCATACATAGTTTATGTATGTCGAATTTAGTAAATTAAATAACAATAGAGAGCTTACGTTTTATTATAAAATTAAGCATAAATGCACATGCATATGTACCAAAATAATCAAGAATTATTAATCAAAATCATTAATGAATTTATCAAATTATGAAGCTTGGAAATATTTATCAATTTTTTTTTGTTTAAGGTTGTTATAACGCGAGATCAGAGCTTTGTCCCTCAGTCTTTTCAAAAGTAAAAGTTCGTTGTAGCATGTACCATTCTCTTCAGCCTATTGTAAACCTAGCTCAAACGCGTTAATTGCGTCATGTGCTGTGACTTGTGGAGCAGTTGCAATCACGTCGTCGTTATTTTCCTGATTGTTTGTTGTATAATTAGAAACCTCTTTTATAATCTCTTCGTCAGACATTTCATGACAAACATTTTCCTCTTTATCCATTCCACGGCACTAGATTTCCAAATCTTCCGGACTTATCTGTGTTTCAGTAGCGACTTGTTCTATAACTTCCGAAGTAACACTGATTTAGGAGTGGTGACTATATCTGGCCATAACCTTTTCCATGAGGATTTAATAGTTAATGACGGTAACGCATACCACGACTGACAAAGAGCAAAAACTACGTATAAGTCTTTCATATTAAATCCTTTTAAAGTTTTTTCTATTGGTTGGTCTTTTGATACGGCTCTCAGAAGTAGGTTTTTCTTATAGTCTTGATTGACAAACTGAATGATATTCTGGTCCATTGGTTGAATCAGTGCAGTGCAATTTGGCGGAAGAGACATCGCAGTGATGCATTTATCCTCAGTTGTTAGTTCTTCTTCAGACGGATGACCGGGAGCGTTATCAAGAAGCAACAACGCTTTTTGATGAAAATTATGATCTTTTAACCATTTTCAAACTTCAGGTACGAAGCATTCATCAAAACACTTTTTGAAAAGGTCTTTTGTCATCCATGCACTATTTTGCCCGTAATAGTGTACAGGTAAATCAATGTTTTTGAATGCCCGTGGTTTATTAGATTTCCCAATGACCATCATCTTAAGCGCGTGTGTGCCCGCAGCGTTTGCACATGGTAGTATGGTTACACGCCCTTTACTTACTTTTCGTCCAGGTACGGATTTTTCGTTACAAGAAATGAAAGTTTTGTTAGGCATCACACGCCAAAAAACCCCTGATTCGTCTGCATTGTACACTTGTGACGGGTCAAGATTTAAATCATTCACCTTTTGCAAAAATCTTAATTTAAAGGGCTCTATGCAGGTGGCATCGTTAGAAAGTTTCTCTCCTGTAATAGTCATTAAACATATGCCATGACGACTAAAACGTTCTAGCCATCCTTTGCTGGCCACAAAATCATCTAAAATATCACATTTTTCTTTGTCAATGTTTTGTGCTTTCGCGTCTGAGCTTGTGATGACATTACTAGGTACTATACTTAATACACAATGAATAAATAGTAAACAATGAACGCACGCTATGCCGTACCGCTATCACAAGTAGTCAAATTCAAACTAAGTAAAACAATGCTTACGCGTCGAGCACGATAGCGGTGGCGCGTACAAGTTGTAACCTGTTCAAACCTGCGTGATCTACATTAGCGAAGATTGTCAAATACGTATGTATGTAATACATAATCAAAGACATGTCGGATTACAGGGGGCGCCCGATTAGACAGGTGCCGGATTATCGGGGGTCTACTGTATTACTAGTTTGTTAATGTTATACTGTATTTTATTTAAATTAAATTGCCTTTAGGATCATAAAGTATTTAAAACTTCCCGCTCCCGGGGACCACCTTGTATTATTAGTTATCTATGAGAAAGGAGACATTCTCCAAAAAATGGATATCTGTTTTCCAGATCAATTTGGTATAATACAAACTTTATCGATGTTGCGTGATTACCATTTCAGCATTTTCGGTTGTGGGTGAGGCAAAGGGAAAGCCAGAAACTGTCCAGGAAGCTACTAAGTAACCTCAGGTGCTCATCTGGTTTTGTAAACGACGTTTTGCACGAAAAGACAAGGTACGTCGACCTTTTTGTCACCCGTCTAACACGAATAGGCCTATTTCGACCTCAGTTCTTTTATCTATCAATAGTCGCCGGTAATTATGTGGCAATGTAAGGTCAAGTTCTAGCGAGGCCAAAATTACTTTAATTTCCTGTTGCATAATTCACGACTCGAGATACCGGTATGAATGCAACACATGCAACTTTTATTCAACCACAACACGGAACTCTTTAATTGCATTTTTAC